GCAGCAGCAACAGCAGCAGCAGCAGCAGTACGCTGCAGCAAGACGGCGGCTCGCTTGTGCAGGAAACGCCAGAAGGCCCCACAACCCCCGAAGTATCTGCAGCAGCAGCGGCAGCAGCAACAGGAGCAGCAACAGCAGCGGCAGCAGCAGCACAAGTCCCAGCAGCAGCAGCAGCAAATGGTGCTGAGCATGGCATGCGAGGAGCACGTACCGCCGTATCGGTGCGTTGCTCAGCAGCAGCAGCAGCAGCAGCAGCATCAACAGGCAATGCAGCAGAAGCAGCAGCAGGTGATGGAGGGGTAGCAGACGCAGCAGCAGCAGCAGCAGCAGCAGCACGCGATGCAGCAACAACAGCAGTAGCAGTACCAGACTGTGAAGCAGCATCACCAGCCGATAGTACAGCAGCAACAGCAGCAGCAGCAGCACCCGCAGCAGCAGCAGCAGCAACAGCAGCAGCACCCGCAGCAGCAGCAGCAGCAGCAGCAACAGCAGCAGCTGAGCCTTATCCCCGTAAGTCTGTGAGGCTCGGGAGACAAAGAGAGAGAAGAAGGGTGCCAGCAGCAAGAGAGCTGCTGCCTTCCTTGCAGCCTGCTGCAGCAGAGGTGAGCATACACCCCAAAGACGCAACAGCAGCAGCAACTGCAGCAGCAGCAGCAGCAGTCTTGCATTCCTGCTGCTGCCAGTGCTGCTGCTTTTACTTCTCCATCTTCTGCTGCTGCAGCTCTCGGCAGTGTTGCTGCTGTTGTGCTGCAGTGTAGAGAAGCAGCAACTCTATCTTTGCTGCGAGAGAGTCTATGTCTAATGCTCAGCGATCTGTTAGATATTTGCTCCGCTCGCCTCTGTTATTTGCTGACGCCGCAGCAGCGCAGCAGATTCACAGAGCCCTTAAAAGCACATGCAGCACATATTCAGCGGTGAGTTTATTTATTTATTTATTTATTTATTTGTTTGTTTTGTTCATTTATTTATTTGTTTATTTATTTATTTATTTATTTGTTTTGTTTATTTTGTTTATCTATTTATTTATTTATTTATTTTGTTTGTTTGTTTTGTTTGCTTGTTTTGCTTGTTTGTTTGTCTATTTATTTATTTGTTTATTTTATTCATTTGTTTGTTCATTTGTTTATTTATTTTATTTATTTATTTAATTTGTTTATTAGCGGCAGCAGACACAGGGTAAGCTACAAACAAACGTACAACGCAGCAGCAGCAACAACAGCAGCAGCAGCAGCAACAACAGCAGCAGCAGCAGCAGCACAATAAAAAGCAGCAGCAGCAGCACAATAAAAAGCAGCAGCAGCAGCACGAGCATAATGAATGAGTTTGTAAATAAATTAATTCTATATATATATATATATATTTATTTATATGTTTATATATATTATGTATATTTATATATATATATATATTATATATATAATATATTTATTTATATTTATTTATATTAATTTATTTGTATTTGAGCAGGACACAAGACGAGCGGGATCTGTTGGGTTATATGAAGTTATACTTTGACGATTATGTTATAAATAAAATATATCCTTCAGAAGACAGCTGCTTCGCTCGTGTCTTAGCTTTGCTTGAAGCTTTAGCTGCATGTCTGCCTCCTGTACGGGGCTGCATGCAGTCTGCTAAACCATATAAATATATATCTTTAGGAGCAGAAACTAATGCAGACAGCACCGACTTATTCGCGAGCATATCTACAAACCTTCATAAACACCAGCAACAGCAGCAGCAGCAGCAGCAGCAGCAGCAGCAGCAGCAGCAGCAGCAGCAGCAGGTGCAGCAGCAGCAGCAAAAGGACGAGGAAGGGATGCGCGATGGCATGCAACGGGAATCCCAGCAGCAGCAGCAACAGCAGCAGCAGCAGCAGCAACAGCAGCAGCAGCAGCAGCAGGAAGAGGGATGGTCTCAGGGTATTCAAACAAATTTGCTGCAGCGCGGACGTCATCGCAGCAGCAAAAAAAGAAAGTGCAGCTAAAAAACCGCAGGTGAATATTATATAAAATAAATAAATAAATAAATAAATATAAATATAAATATATAATATAGATGATAGTAAATGTATCTATAATTAATTATAATTAATATTAATTAAATATATTTATATAATCTCTGCACTCGAGGAGTAGCAGCGTTTGCTGCTGCTGCTGCTGCTGCTGCTGCTGCTGCTCTTGAATAAAACAAAAAAATAAAAATTGTACAAAAAAACAAAAAATAAAATGTTATAAACAACTAAAAATTAATTTTGTGTATGCATCTTATATGATATACATTATATACATATATACATTATATATATATATAATGCATATAATATATATATATATATATACATTATATATATATATACATTATACATATACATTATATATATGCGTATACATAATATATATACATTATATATAATATATATATATATATATATATATACATATTATGTATCTACATTATATATATTATACATATACATTATATATATTATATATATTATATG